TGAAGATTAATTACGACGCAAGCCATTACACAAACGGTGTTGAGGGGCTCAGTTAACAGAAGGGTTTATTTGCTTCATTTTTTGTTAAAGGGCTGGTCACTAACTGTTGAAAAAGTTGAGGGGCTCAAGAAAGGTTTTTGCCATTTCATTTTCGTTTTATATTTCTCTCCTCTTTTACGTCAAATCAAATAAAGGGTAAGGCTTTAATATTTCTAATTTGTTATGAAAATTTTTTATATTTACTTTAATTTTATAATTTACTAAAAAAATAACCATTACAGCGACCAAATGTCACATTTGAGTTTAGTTCCTCATAAATAGTAATAATTAGTTTTTGGTATGGCTATTTCTAGGTACAAAATTATTGGATTTGTTTATAACAAGTGGAATTAATGAAGCTGCATGAATGGGGGCTCAAGGTAGGTGAAATATACCACATAGTATAAGGAAATCAAAGACATAAGAATAAAAAAACACAACAAAACAAAACGAAACAAAAGCCTTTCCATATTCACGCAGTTGGTTTTGGGCGCTAGTGGTTTTACATTCATATTTCAGGGGGTGTTGGTGGCACAAATTATTAATTTTTTTTTAGTTACTGACAAGGTATTTTTAGTTTAATTTTTATATATATTAAGATTAATTTATTTTTAATTAATTTTAAAGACAATTTAAATTTTAAATTTAATTTATAAATTATACTTATTTATAAATAAATTTAATCTTTAAAGTTACACAAATTATTAATGCCAAAGGTTTTATAAAGTGAAAAGAATTTCATATATTTTAGTCTGAATTACATATTAGAAATACAACTTTAACATTAAAATTATTAAATTACTTTCAACGAATAAACATAAAAAAAATTTATTAAAATTATTTTAATAATTTCAATAATTAAACAGTACTTTTAAACCACACTTTAACTTAAAAAATACTTTTTGAATTGAAATATTTGCACTTGTTTCAATTGCTTTTCCGGTCGGATTCCGATTAGCAAACCTGGTCGATTTCCAGATGGGGAAAAACCGAAATACAGTCGGCCAATGTAACCAGTAACCAGTATACATATGGAGGGAACCCCTGCAAGCTGGGTCACCCAAATGGTGTCGGTCACGTGGCAAAACCGCTGGCGGGCTACTATTGCGAACGCGGGCGACGGGACGGCTCCGCGCGACCACGCAAACCGCCCACAACCCCCCAGTAGTAGGACCGGCATCGAGGTGGCCCCACAAAACTTGGGGATTTTGGGGGCGGGGGCATCTACGGGGGTCCGTCACCTTTTCTGGGTCCCTTGACAGCATACCATTCTTTTGTCCGTTAGCGTTCCCGTAGCCACTATATAATGCGCTCCCTCCGGACTGGCTCTCCCTCACACTCACTCTCCTCTCTCTTCTTTGTATTATACACTGAACTTTTTCCTTTCTTCGTCTCCTTCTACTTCTCTAGGCCCATCTCTTCTCAGAAACAGGGTACTCTGTTTCTGCTCTGCTTCTGGTCTTGTGTTATAAGCGCTTAATTTCCAATTTGTCTCTTGAAACTACTTCGATTCCAAAGTCTTCCGTTTAATTCGTGACATTTAAATATATATATTTTCTAATGGGTAGGTTTCGATTATGGATTTAGCGTAGAAAGTTGGTAACTTTCCATCTTTTTTCTTTGATTTTATGAAGCGCGGGCTGAAAGTCTGATTTGGGTTGTTTTTGTAGTGAGGTTTGTTGAAGACGGAAGAAAAATGGCCAGTCATGCAAAATCCGGTCTCAAGGCATTCACGGTCCCGGTTTCTAACCCCACAGCTGCTCAGAAGCCACCGGCAGCTCCGGGGAACATTCTCTATCCAAGAAAGCGATTTTTGTCGCAAAATATTGAAATCAATGGAGTAACAAGAATAAATGCGTGGGTGGATTCCATGAGAGCTTCTTCTCCTACCCATCTTAAATCCACACCTTCTCTGGCAGAAGACCAGAGTTCTTGGATGGTAAAGTTCTTAGACTTGTTTTCCTTTCAGCCAAATTTAGGAAAACATATTGTGGGTGGTTTTCATTTTGATGCAGAATGTTGAAACTGACTAATTTCTTGTTTCCTGCTTGATGAAATCTGTAGTTACACCATCCATCAGCCCTGCAAATGTTTGAGCAGATAATTGATGCCTCAAAGGGCAAACAAATAGTCATGTTTCTGGATTACGACGGCACTCTTTCTCCTATTGTAGACGATCCAGACAGGGCATTCATGTCAGATAAGGCATGTGATTGTTTATTTATACATGGTTTTGACACTGTTGCTTTGTGTATATTTATGTCTATCAGGTGTTCAATCATTTGTGTGTACTAAATCTTCATTTTGTTTGCCTCAACTAGATGAGAGTAACTGTGGGAAATCTGGCCGAGTGCTTTCCTACTGCGATAGTGAGTGGCAGATGCAGGGACAAGGTACATTTTTGAGGCTTTTAGCTTCTTTTTCAGAACAAAGCCTAGTACTGAAACTTCCACCTTAATGCCCTTCTTTTGTTTGGGACTCATTATTTCTTCTTCTATTAATGTTAGGTCTACAAATTTGTAAGATTAGCGGAGCTGTATTATGCTGGAAGCCATGGCATGGACATTAAGGGACCAGAAAAAGGTTCCAAGCATAAGAAAGTAAGTGTGGTGCCATTGGTAACTGTATCCCAAAAGTTATAACCCTCTTTTTTGCTATTCTAAATTTCTTTAATTTAGTTGTTCCTAATTTTTTCATGCTTTTTTCATTAGGCAAGTGAATCTGTTCTGTGCCAACCAGCCAGTGAATTTCTTCCAATGATTGATGAGGTTGGTTTTGTTGTTCATCTCAGTTCATTTAGGAAATGAAAAACCTTAAATAGTTTGAAACATCTAACATTTTTGTTCCTGATAATGTAATTTTCAGGTTTACAAACAGTTGGTTGAAAAGACCAAATCAACTCCTGGAGCAATGGTTGAAAACAACAAATTCTGTCTCTCGGTACACTACCGCTGTGTTGAAGAAAAGGTAGAAATCAAAACAAATTACTATAGCTATTATTAGCTTATCCTTTCTGGACATAACTTCTTGTAACCTATAAAAGCTTCTAACTGTTTGCATGAAAATGCAGAAATGGAGTGAACTAGCACAGCAGGTTAAGTCAGTTGTAAAGGAGTATCCAAAGCTTCGACTTACTCAAGGGAGGAAGGTAGGACATGGGATATCATCATCTACATAATTATAGACTTTGCGGTTTGAGAGATTTTCTCTTACTTTAGTTGCTGTTTTGTGTGGTGCAGGTACTTGAAATCCGACCCACCATCAAATGGGACAAAGGGAAGGCCCTTGAATTCCTGTTAGAATCACTTGGTAAGTTCTTTAAAGTGATCTTAGTTTTGACAGTTGGGTTCATATAATCCAAACTTGGAAAACCATCAAGTATATATATGGAAGTCACCCCACCACTTCCATTACTTTGTTCAATTAGATAATTTTACCATCCATTATAATTACAATCATGTTCTATGGCAACTAATTATTCAGATAAATCTTTTTCTACAGGATTCGCTAATTGCACGGATGTCTTTCCTGTTTATATTGGTGATGATAGAACTGATGAAGATGCATTTAAGGTATCCTATGTTCAAAATCAAACCCACGAGCCCCTTTAGTTTATTAAAAACAGGAGTTTTCTCAACTGAAACATTGATTTCATTGTCAATCTGTCATTAGATATTGAGAGACAGAGGACAAGGTTTTGGGATACTTGTCTCTAAATTTCCCAAGGACACTAATGCATCTTATTCTTTACAAGAACCAGATGAGGCAAGTTTTCTAATAAGCCCTTGATCTTTCTTTTAAGCTGAATATTTCTCCATCATTTTGCATGATTGGTGCTGTTACTAAATGTGATTTTCATATATTCTTTCAGGTTATGGATTTTTTACAGCGTCTGGTTGATTGGAAAAAACTGTCGCAAGGCAATCCAGAATGCTAGCAATAGAGGATGGAAATTGGAAATATTTTCTCTACCCTTTACTGGACACATGTGAAAGTTGGGGCTAGACCATGTAGTATTTACCTTGTTCAGGATGAGAAAATGAACGACTAAAAAGTAAATAATTAACAGATTTATAAATTATGCCCCTTCGGCTTTAAAGCCCTTGTACATCCTGTAACACAACCAGGATACAAGAGTAAAAAGAATCGTAGCTTGCAAAATTTCCAAAATGAATATGTTTTCTGTCTCTTGTTGAGTAATGCTTTCTTTGGTCACCTTTTGGTTATACTCTAATATAAAAGAACCAGATACATAAAAGCAAAATTATTCTGTATCAATGAACAGATTCATGCGCTTGAGCTTTAACAACGGATGGTAGGTGTATGTTCTTCCATCCAGAGGAGGTGGGTTTGAATCCCCACCCCCAAACAGTAAAAAAATAATGGGCTCATGGTATTTTGAGAATGATATTTGAAGTTCTACATGCTCCCCCACCACTAGGAGGGATCTGATAAGACTGATATCTGTAGTGAAGTTAACTAACATGACGCTACTTCATGTTTTGTTGGCAATTTCATTTCCATGGATTCAAACTTGATCATGTCTGATATAAGTCAAGTTCATTTCATGGTGCAACATCATAATTCCACAAAATAATGGAAAGAACATTCTAGTCATAGTTTTAAATGCAGAACAGATTCTGATATGATTAGTTCCTAAAGATTTCTTGTTACTTCCTCATTACCCTCGAAAGGGTATAATTCAAAAGTGGTTGGCCTATTCCAATATGCTTTTTCTACAAGAGAAAGTGAAATTAAGAGTCTAGAAAACATGGAATGATGATCAATAAGTACTTTTATAACATTTTATTTCTTGTTTCTCTGGTAGGGAAGTAGTTCCTTAATTTGAAGAAAGGGAAATCACCTTTGACAGTTCATTTGGTCTATGGGTTCTAGCCAGCTATTGATCCCCACATCATTTATAACTTGATATCACCAATATTAATAGCATTACAATGCAATCATTAATGCATACATTTCTAATTGGTCTTCCAAACACTTCTTTTTATGGTTCTATTTAACCCCAAATCACACAAAAGATTTACATTCTCTGATCATTTTTAGACATAACGAAAGCAACGAAGGAACAAATGCAAGGGCAACTGTTCATATATCATTCTTATTGAGCTCATGGGGGGCAGATCTTTTGAGATGAAGATAAAATAATTTCACCTATTTATTTATGCTTTAATTAAAGTTCATACATTGGTTCTCTTTCATTAATGCTGAGTCAAAAGCATGAGATTTTTAGGTAGATTTTGCAAAAGATGGTGCACTTTGCTATCCCATTCTTAAATTTCTCTTTCTCCTTCACATGTGCCACCTTCAACCCCATTAACGAGATTGTGGTTCCCCTTTTTACTTAAATTATAAGCATCTAATGAATAATACTTTTGTTGATTCCTTCACTTGCACCTGATTTTCTCAACCAGTTGCAGTAACTAGATAATTTATTTCCTAGCTTTGGTCCTACATTTGTAACTTTGGCAATTAGCTGCCTCCTTTTTCACAAACCACTAACCTGCATTCACCCTTTTCTCAGACAAAGCAAAGAAATAGCTTTCATAAACAAAAAAACAATATGAGTTGGCACCCATAACCCATGTTCTTGATTCTTGAAACAAGAAACACAAAACCCAAAACTCCATTGGAGAGGCGGAAAGAAAAGAAAAAATGTAGGCCTATTTTTTTGTACATGTATATTTGATCAATATTGGATTATATTATAATAACTTATTCCTTATCTAAAACCATTTTCAAAAGTTTGAATTTGAGAGTTTCAATAAGAAAAGTTTAAATTCTTAATTATTGAGATATTTCCTAAAGACACAAAACATATATGCCATTAAGTTGCGATATTAGATTAACTTCCTGTGGAGGAGAGGATGCGCTGGGATTCGATCACCAACAGAAACGCATGCCTTCATTTTCATTGGATACTCTAGGTTAATTTGGAATTTGGACCAACCCATGGAGAGTTGAATAGTGGAATCTCCTCTCTTTGTTTCATTAATTAATTTTTTTTACCACTTTAATATTAATTTCAAGGAGGACCCAAGGGATGATGACTTTTTTTTTGTTAGGCTTGTGAAAGGGAAACCCACAATCTATAGGGATTGAAATATTTGGTTGAATGTGGAGGTGGAATCCACTTAATGGACCAATATTTTTGATATGTTGAGGAGAAAACACATGGACTTTTAGAACCAAGACACTAACAATATGGCTCGGCTTTGACAACCCTCGGCTCTTGTGGACGTGGAAAGTTATATATATGTATATTAAAAAAAAAAAAAAAAAAAAAAAAAAAAAAAAAACATGTCCCATGATTGGTGTCTTAACTGAATTACTCAAGTCTTTCCAAGCTTCAATTATTGGTAGAAAATCAAGCTCACCCTCCTCTCACCCAACGCTACCAACTCTAAAAATCATTAATTCAACACATTATATCTTCGGGGAGAAGATACTTGCCTTAATTTATCAACAAAGTGAATCTGTTGATTGAAAAAGGAGGTAAAGGGGGAACACAAGATGACCAAAAAAGGTGTAAAACAGGCATAATAATTTGGCTTCATGTGATCAACAACTAGACCATACCCCATAATAAATATGACTCATGTATTTTATTTCGTAAGTATATATAGACCCGTATGGTTGGTCGAGATAGATTAGATTTATAAGGTGGAATGGGATTTATGGGAAGAACCATTCAGGCATTGAGTTGTCAAACTCAAATTGACTTGGGGAAATGGTCCTGAAAGACAAAACGCGTGTAAGACAAACAGGAACCAAAGAGAGATTTTTAAGAGTGCGTTGCTCTCGAGAATCGGTCCCCGCATTGAGGGGTCGAGCAAGTGAGGATGGTGGTGGTGGGTTTCTGTCTTGTAACCAATACATTTGACAAGCACGCAATTGAAGTCTACATTAGTGTGTTTCATCGTTTTTTTTTCTTTTTTAACATATCTTTTTGAAGAGTTTATTGTTTTGTTGTCTATAAAGGTTCAGATTGGAAAATAATTTTATAGTTTTTTAAACGTATATATATTTTAATTTACGAGAGAAAGAATTTTTTATAAGCAACTTAGTCAAACGGTGGTACATAACGTGTAAACGAAGTATTAAATGTAAGTTGGGATTGGTCATTGATCTTTGATGTGCCTAACTCTGGGTCATATGTGTGGATCCATGAGCCAGTTGCCCTTGTCATGGGAAACGAAGGAAGACTTCCATTGTGAAGATGAGTCATTGGTTGGATATTGTCAGTTTCATCTGACATTTTAGGTATGAAAGTGATCGATGAGGGAAAAGAGGCGAATAATTGGGAATGTGTTGATGGCCCCTGGAATGCATCTTGGCGCTTATATGTACGTCTATGCATGTTCAATGAGACTTCGATTCTTCGAACCAAAAATAAGAAGGGACGCCCAAAACTGTTAGAAGATATTAATTTTAACTCTTCAAAAAAGGTCTAAAAAATTGTTTTAAATACTTTCTTCGTTCAACTTTAATTGACTTATGACTGCTTCCTAATTAGAGTTAACTTAAGTTCCCTACTTAAAGTTTCCCTCCTCTAATTTGGAGTCTTTTACTCCTCCTTTTTCCTTCCCTCTCCGGCACCGTCCCGAATAGTCTGTCAGTCCTTACCTAAGGACCGTCCCACCCTCACACCCTAACCAAGCAACTGGTTTTCAATCTACTTTAGCATCCATGTGGCGACGCAATCATCTTAGCCGAGTCCTAGTTGTGGTGTCACATAGATCTGATTCCGTTGCAGCCTCTTCCTTAGTTGCACAGATCTAATTCTGCCTGCATCAAGCCTCGGCAGCCTACCCATACACCCTTGGGATGTCCAATCAAATGGGCAATCGATATCTAGGCCAAGAAGCGAATTAATGACATAGGCTCTCTCCTAGGCCGAATCTGACTTTCGGAGGAAGAACACAAAATTATCACTAGAAAACACCTGGAATGCTTTGTTAATTGAATCCGAATCCCTTTGTCTCGTTGGGAAAATCCACACCCACTAGATGATCAATTTCACAGGGCTACAGAATGCACTTGTATTAGCATGGATAACTAATTCTAGTGTGCAAATCAAAGAACTAGGCGGGAGAATTTTCTTATTCTAATTTTTGAATAGTTATGATGTTAATTGAATATTGTAGAAATCACTTCAGAATTTTGATTGCTCATTGATTATTCTGTGACGATTTAATAAATTCTTAGTTTTAGAAAATTATGATTTTTCAACGTATCCTTTTTAGGTGAGACTTTTCGGACTTCTCTATGGGCTTCATGGCGAGACAGCCTGAATACCAAATCGGAAGTAGTATAGAAAAAGTTCTTGAATTGGATAACTCTTTCATGAAAGCTTTGCGAGTTAGAATCCAACTTAAGGTAAATAATCCATTGAGACACGTTAAAAATGTTACAATTTTAGTCATAGAAAATCGACTAGTCCGAATGATATATGAAAGATGGTCAGAGTTTTGTTTCATATGTGGATGTATTGGGCACGAGGTTTCTAAATATGGGATTGGCTTTAGATTGAAGGAAGTTGGAGTAAATGTATCTCACCCTTACAGAACATGATTATTGAGGACTAAAGACTTTTGAGGAGTTGGTACTATTTGATAGCAAGTTGATGCCCCCTAAAGCAAGCATGCAAGCTAATATTGTGCAAAAATAAAATAAGATTCCTTACTGTTAATATGTGAATACATTTATTATAAATATTTTATATTTAAAATATTCTCTTTATATACTTTATACCTTAAAATATACTATTTGTAAACACCTATATATGAGTCATTGTACATACAGTTTATTCAAGAAAGCAATAAATCTTTCTTCAAATTATTATTATTCTTTTCAATTTCTAACATGGTCTCAGAGCTATAAGCTCCTGATTTTTTTTCTCTTACCATCGTTGCTTGGGTTTTGGAGTTGAATTTTCAATTCCATTCTAGATCTGAAACTTTGTCGTTGGGATCTCTTTTTCTACAGATTGGATTGTTTATTCTCAATTTGCTAGCCCTTTCTAAGGTATTTTGTTGGCTTGTTATTTCGATTTTAGCATTTATTTCTTGATTTTTTTAGAGTTTTTCAATATTATGAGTTTTATTGATTCTATGGTGAGTTTTGAAAGGATTGTAACTTATCCTACTACTGCTATGGTTGCTAAAGAA